CCCCAAAACCCCAAAACCCCAAAACCCCAAAACCCCAAAACCCCAAAACCCCTTTAAATTTCATTGCAATTGAGAAAAATGGCAAAGACCCAGCTAATAATTCTCGTTTAATAATTTTAAATATAATCCTGCTTAGCTTCCACCCGTGCAAACAAATGTTCGTTGATCTATACAAAGAGGTTATTCGGAATGCTCCCTTGTGACTCATGAGGCATAACAAAGATGCCAACACTGATATAAAGGAATTTACCTGAAGAAAGCCAATCCCTAGCATTATGTCGTTTACTTATTCACAGTCATCTTTCTCTTGACTACCTTCTTGAATTTAGGCTCATGGACTTTCCAGTTACTAGATGTGCTGGTTATTTATGAGAGATTGAGCAGAAAAGTATTATTTTAGAGAAATTATAGCAAATTTTATCAGGAAAGTGTAGTGGGGAGAGCAAACTTTTCTAATTTTATCAACACAGAGGGTAAATTTTTCCAATCCCAGAGACATACCTATACTTTCTTGGTCTTCCCTTGAACTCAATTTTGGCTTTCTTCGTTTGTTTTGTAGGGAAATCTAGCTTTCCCATATCGCCGGGTTTTTCCTTTCACTGATCTTTCATTGCCATCATCACCTCAACTGAATATCTCAGATGTTCCTTCTTCTCCTTCGGGGCTGCAGTATTTGCAGAATTCAATAAGGGAAGAATTGACACATTATCTGGATGAGAAAACAACAATGGGGGAGGTTTCATGGGTCCTCCGACTAGAGGAGCCATCCCATTGAGACCCATTGGAGGAGTCCCACCTAACAAGCTTGGAAAGGGCATCACATTCGCATTCTTTTCAGGAGTTCTCTCTTGGATTCCAATCGGTAACACTCCTAAACCCATTTGCCCATTCGGAGCAGACGGAGCGATAGCCTGAGCAGGTGGGACTGAGTTGGCTAATGTCTCTGTCTTTTTCTTGAGATTCTTTGGAACAAAAGATGCAGAACTTAACTTCAAGGCAGCTGGCTTATCTTTCTTCTCCTCCAGAGACATTTTAATAATCTAATTTATTAGTTAAATTTCTATTTCTGTGATGAATTAAGGGGTTTTGGGGTTTTGGGGTTTTGGGGTTTTGGGGTTTTGGGGTTTTGGGG